ATAACGAAGCTGGCGGATAGGAGAGCATGGCAGAGGACCCGGATCCGTGTCCGCATCCAGAGCCACAGCTCAGGGGGGCTTGGCAAGAACAAAAAAAATGCCAAACGCCCGCCGGCAACTACTCAGCCACACCCTCCTCCGCTTGGTTCTCCTGCTCCTCCTGGGAGGTGGCAGTGCAAAAGTTTTGTCCCTGCTCCAATGTGGGTGGGGTGGGGGTTGGCTCGAGTGTCATATCGCTCGACGCTCGTCGCTGTCTATTGTTCCCAAAAGTGTTTTTATTTAGCCAAGAAGTTCCAAGGCCAAGCCGGCTCCATCCTTTTTCGCCACCGGCCCCGCCCCTCCTTGCCGTGGAGTCCTTGCCATCTTCACAGACTTTACGTTTGTTTTATTATCTTTTATTATTGTCTTCTCTCTGTCTCTGCCTCCGTCTCCGTCTCTGCCTTTGTCTTTGTCTAATTTCTGTTGTGTTTGTCTCTTTCTGGCCGCCTTCCTTCTGCTGGCCCCTCCTGTTTCGTCCTGCTAAATTGGCCGTTAAGATGCTAAAGATGCGGATTTCGGTGATTTACCAAGTTGGTCGCCAGGCCAAGAGCAGTGGCAAGAGCAAGGGGGCAAGGGGGCAAGGGCAAGGGGCTGCTGCCATTGTTCTACGCTGTCGCTGATTCCACTGTTCCACTGTTCCCACTGTTCCCTCTGTTTCCTTACTGGGCATATAGTTGGCTCTCCTCTGTCGCTGTTGCTCTCCCACTCTCCCGCTCCCCCCCCTCTGCTATAATCTCTCCACCCTCCCCGCCTGTTAGCTGGGGATCCCATTTAATGTGTATTTGTTGTGTTTGCGGCGGAAATAGCGCTAATTTCGCCACCTGCCTGGCTGGGTGTCTGCCTGGCTGTTTGGGTGGCATGCCACATAACGGTAGTTTGCGGCAAGGCGAGAATAGATGGGATCAGATTGATTGCGGCCAGACGGCCAGGCAGAGACGGCCTGTTCCCAGCGGCAAGGGTTAAGCAGGGGGGGTGGGGCAGGCCCAGTATGTCCTGCAGATGCGTTTTCCTGATGCTCGTCCCCTGCTCGTTTCGCTGCACTAAACGAGAATCCATTTTCCCTTAACCATGGGCGGGGGGCGGAGGGCAGGCTGCTCGCTAAGCCAAGCGCTTAGGCTTCATTAGCTGAGTTTTTCTGCGGGCTGCGTTTTCCATTTGCTGCGACCCTTTAGCTCCACTCCTCGCCACTGCCATTTCCTATTCGCCCCCTTCCTCCGCACTGAGCGGTGGAGGTCATGTGACGGTGTTGATTTTCACACGACGCAGCGTGAAATTAGAAATCAACAACATGTCCTGTCACGGCCACGCACTGCCACTGGGAGCAGAGAGCAGTGGGCAGTGGGCAGTGGAGCAGTGAGGCAGTGAGGAGCAGTAGGGTGAATGGCATGCCGGGGGTGCCATGGTGCCACGGTGCCAGAGTCGTGTGTGTCCAGGTCAGGTGTCCAGGTTTTTGGCCAAATCAGTTTTGTCTGCCAACGCTGCTGCGGATTGCAGTTTGACTGCTGCTCCCCCACCACCCATCACCCACCATGATTGTTGCCTCCTGCTGCACTCTCTCCTCGCTGCTGCTGCTGCTGCTGCGGTTCCGGCTCTCGTTTGTCGTCTGCCGCTGACAGACCAAATTAAAATGTCCCTGAATGCAAGTGCCCCATGCCCTGCCCTGCCTGCCCTGCCTGCCCCACTGCAGCACCGCAGGGTGGTGGTGGTGGTGGTGGTGTTGCCCGGTGCTGTCTGCGTGTCACTTAATGACCAATTTGGCGGGCCCAGTCGGGGACTGTCGGCCGAGTTGGAACGTTGGATGGAGCAATCCGCCAGCAGCTGTCGCAATTCGCGTTTCGGGATTTCGCCAACCCCAACCCCAACGCCAACCGTGCTGGCGGATGCTGCCGCATCCATCACGTTTGACTTTCGCTGTGATAAATCTTCAAGTCACAGAAATTGGCAAGCAAACAGCAGCAGCAACAGCAGCAGCAGCAACTAAATTGGGGGCTTGATAAGCACAAATGACAACAGACAGCGCGACAAGGAACAAGGACACGAGAAACAAGAACCGCTAAGAGAATTACAACATGTCGCAGCTTGTACGAAATTTGAATAAATTTCAAATTCGTTACCCGCGAGCCGCGAGCCGCCACCGCCACACCGACACCGCCGCCACCCACAAAAAGTTTTGCGCTCGGCTACAATTAACTTTTAAGTATGCCATTTCACAGATACCACAGATATCGTCGCGATATAAAAAGCTATATTTCGGGCACGGTTCAACCTCCCCCACCCACCCCGCTGTACAGAGCAGAGTAGAGCACAGCACAGCGGGAGTAGAGGCAGACATGGGAATGGGGAATGGGAAATGGGTACGCGGCTGAAGTTGAGGTTGCCAGCAGCAGTTGAGAAATAATTTCATGCAATTTATCATGTCACAGAGCGAGAGAGAGAGAGAGCACAACAATGAGCAGTGGCAGTGGTAGGGGCAGGGGTAGGGGTAGGGGTAGTGGCAGGGGAGATGCAGAACGAACTGCGAACACTCTTCTACCCGGAAACTTCTACTGGGGCGGGAGCAAAATGTATTCAAACAAAAAGTGCGTGCGATTTCCGTTTCCGCTCTCTCTCTCTCTACCTCTCTCTCTGCCTCTCACTTTTGGCATCCATAACGAATTTTTGCATAAATACAGCAAAACGGTGGAAGTGGAGTGGGTGGGGGGGAGACAGAGGGGAGACAGCCTGCTCCGCTGGTTAATCGTTGACCATTTATCTTGCTTAATGAAATTTGCGAAATATCAAATCAGGCCCGAAAGAACACATCAGAAAAGAGTAGAGCAGAAGGGAGCAGAGCAGAGCAGAGCATTTTGGCCGTTATTAGCCACAAACTGCAATAGCTAAGGCGCTCATCTACGGTTGATCCTAGGGATATGCAGGACAGGACGGGACGAGCCACAGGACCGTCTCTCTGAAGTCGTCACGTGGCAGACTTTGAGCCCACAGCCACAGCCACCAAAGCAAAGCAAAGCAAAACCACCAACCCCGCACTTCGGCTCTTCGATGCTTGTTGCCATTCATGACCCCCGCGAGCGTCACGCGTCACGTGCGCAATTAAATTGACGCATCCTTGACGGATTCTCCACCCACCCGCGAAAACATTCTTCCCTTTTGACTTGTGCTAAAGAGCATCCAGGGAATTGGCCATTGACTCGGCCACTCTCAGACCCCACTGCCACTCCCACTCCCACTCCCACTCCCGTGTGGCTGCGTTGATATCATTAATCAACATGAACAAGATTTTATTCATTCCTTTGTGGCGGTGGCTGCTCACCCTGAGTTTTTATTATTTCCTTGACAATTGCATAATCTGCGTAGCTCTGATAATAATTTCAAACTGTTTGCTGACTCTCTCATTCGGTTTATTTCAGTCTATTCCAAGCGCAGGTTACATCGATTGAATATATTTTGATAATAATTTAATGGAATGCCAATTGGGGTTAGAAAATTGAAGAATGCAAAATATTGTTGCAGGTGAGTCACAATAATTTTGTAAGAGTAAAATGCTCTTCGCACCAGAGGCAGTATTTATATAAATTTGTATTCACATGCCATACTAAAGATAGTGAAAATGTATCAATTGATTAGTGTAACAAACTTAAACTCGCTTAAAGCCTAGGACTCAGATCGAAAAAAACACCTCGCGAACAGAATCAGGGTTGATATTCGTATGAAACCGATAAGAAATTTTTTACGGCAAAAACTGTTTTCTAGGCTCTGTACGGAAGGCAGTACTCAGATCAACAAAAAAAAGGTCGGCTTATTCTGGAAAATTATCCGAAGTATTTGCTTGTTTTTTTGGTATGTTTAGTCCCACCTCGAAAATTATATCAATTTGATATATTTTGCCAGCAAACACGAAGCAAACATTGCAATAAGAGTACACAAAACCAAATGAAATATTTTAATAATGAAGACAAATAGAATCGAATTAATGCAGTGTTTTGTGAATGACAATTATATGGATATAATAATTTATTATTTTTATTAAATTTCATAAATATAAAACAAATATTGTTTTCAAAACATTTTTTATTCACGGTGTCCGGCACGGGAGGCGTCGCCATCTGCTGCTGCTGATAGTCAGACACATTACCTTGCCAATAAAATGTTGGAAAGCCCAGGATATGGCTGGGGAAGAGCAGCCCCAGCCGAAGAAGTGCATTTTATTAGCTTTAAACAAAACCAAGCAGCGGTCTGAGCAGTGTAACCGTTCGCAATGCAGTGCACACCTCTGGTCACACACTGGCCGCTCGAAGAATATATGACATTTTTTTGCTGGCAAACAGTTTTTGGATCTGAGTACTAGGCTTAAGTATATACAGTATATATACTGTGTGGTTAGTGGTTACACGTCCGTTGCTGTACGTTGCTGTCCGTCGGCTCGTGTCACGTCATGAGCCGAACGCGGTCATTCCCAGAGCCGAACGCGATCGGCCCCAGAGCCGAAGACCTGGGAACGTACGCTGAAAACTCAGCTGCGACACGTTTGGTGTATGAACTGGCACATCTACATATATACTGCACGGTTAGTGCTTAAGTCGAAACAGGTACCACATCTCCGTTGTTTAATACGTGAAATTAGTATTGTAGTTTCAATTAAATATGCTGAAAAAATACTGAAAACTATTTAGAAGCTGGAAAAAGGCTAAAAAAAAGTTTAGCAGCTGGGAAAAGGCGAAAAAGATAGCTCGCCAGTGCCCCTTGGGAAGCATTTGCGTTGTTTAATTCGCGTTTTGTATTTGGTTTTTGATTTGCATAGCAATCAAAATTTCTTCAAATATTTTCCAAAAGTATGCCCGAGTACCATTAGCACCAATGTGCTAAAAATCGCCGAAATTCGAGATATCTGGCAATGCCGGGGAATGCTGTGACTTTGCATCATTTTGAAGCTAGTAGGCCGAGCCTGTGCCTAAACTTTTCTTGTGTCATTTTCGGTTAGTTTTCCTAGTCATTCAGTTTTCGATTTCCTATGTGCAAAGAACATTCGGCTCTCCAAAAAAGTAATTATCAATTTGGTGAATTTTATTTTGTGCCACAGAAAGAACAGCACTGGAAAAAGCGACTCAGTCGTTGTGTCTTTTGCAGAGTGAGTTTTTCGTTTTTCTCTTCCTTTTTTGCGCTGCCTGGGTGCGTGTGTGTGTGAGTACGTGTGCTTGCAAAAAAAATATGGATATGTAGAAGCTGCAAAATCGTTTTAGTCCGTCTGTCTTCCGAGCAAATATTTGTGGTCTGCGCCACGGAATGCGCGCCCTGGTGATCGCGTTGAAAAAGAACGGAACGGAACGAAACGACAATTGTTTGCAGCTTTTTGCAGAAAAAAAGGTGAAGGTGCGTGTATGTGTGTGAGCCCGTGTTTAAGTGTATGTGTGTGTTTGTATGTGCGTTAGTGAATCTCTGCAGCTTTGGCCGTTTTGTTGCCCGTTTGCTTGCAATCGCAAGTGTATACATATGTTAATACATACATACATAACGAAACGGCCGCATTTTCCATACAAACAATTCTACCTCATGTGTGTGTGTGTGTGTGCAGGCAAAGCAAATCGAAAAAGTGCGAGTGTGCCCGTGTCAGTTCTTTGTTGTTGTAAAATTGTTCAAAAGCCTTGCCCTGCAGTAGGCCTTGCTAAACAATTCACATTTTAGTTAAATTTGCAGAGAAGTGTCGCATTTGCATTCAGATTTCAGAAGGAATTCAACAAAGTAACGATACAAATATTTCTTAGCTTTTATCTGCAGACGAAATACGAGAGCGAAGCCAGTGCAGTGCCACGACTGTTGTTCAGAAGTAACAGAAGGAACGAAGTGTGGAACGTATCGGCCGTATATTTTGTAGAACCAAAACACAACGGAGAGAGAAACAAGTGCCTCGACTGTTGTGTTGAGTGGATCGCATGTTGAGACGGTTCTTTCTTCATTTTAAGGTAAGATATTCCTTTTCTATATACGTTTTTACGGGTTATAGCATGCAGATAATATTTCTTCCATCCATTGAAGGCATTTTTCATAAATATTTGCCATTATTTGTTGTGCCTTATTCGCATTGTTACGGAAGTTTCCAATTAGAAGATTCAAACAAATTCAAGCGCTGTTACCAGGTGAGTCTCTCTCTCTGTCTCTCTCTCTCTCCCTTTTCCAGTTGTTCCACTCTATGCGACGGCTCTCTCTCTCTCTGCATCTCCGCATCTCTGCCTCGCGCGCCTGTCTGGCCGCGCGTAACCGTAACTAAACATTTGCATTAGGCAGCAGCTTCCCCAATTGGCGGCTGGCACGGGGCGACGGCCGCAAAAACCGCTAAACAGAACAGAACAGAACAGAAAACGGCGGCAAATCCAAACAGTTTAAATGACATTTAGAGAGCAGGCATGCGGATCAGGGATAAGGGGGGATTGTGGGATTGGCGGATTTGGGGGAGGGATTTTTTGCTTGTCGGTTAAATAAATTTTGCGGCAAATCGCAAAATCGCAAAATCGCCAAAAGGGCAATCCCATCCGATCCCCCTCTGCCTCCTGCGATCCCGCAATTGGCAATCGACGCCGCAAATCGCGTTTTAAGCCCTGCGTGCGATTAGTTTAATTGCCACCGTGGGGATGGGCTGGGATGGGATGGGATGGGATGGTGGGTTTTGGTGGTGCAACAGGACAATGCAACATTTGCATAGCGGCGGCTGACGCGGTCCCGGTCCCGGTCCCCATTGCCTCTGTGTGTCCTGTGGCCTGTGTCGAGTGGCGGAGAGTCGCGCTTAATGCGAAAATAAGGATTAACCAATGAAATTTATAAATGCGCCAGCCCTAGACCCAGTGCCAGGGCCAGTGCCAGGACCAGTGCCGGGCAGCGCCTGCTCCTGGCCCCAGCTCTCAGCTCCACCTCATGCTGCTGCTGCTGCTGTTGCTGCTGCTGCTGTGCATCCTTGCCCCGCTGCAAATTGAGTGCATAAATTGGCCGCACCATCCGGAGTCCGGTGTGGATGAGGGGCGGATGAGGGGACAGGCCAGGACAGAGCAATCTATTTTGGATTAAATCAAATCGAAATAAACGATTTTTAATGGCCTGCCACTGTGGCCAAGTGCTTGCTGCCTGTCCCTGCTGGAACTGGCTGGCCCTGTCTGCCCCGTGTGGCACAGTGGCAAAAACGAGGTCATTAATTATTTCTTCAAAAGCAAAAGATAAGCCCAACCAGGACGAGTCCCTGGGATGCAAAATTAACCATCCCCGCATGCCGCATGCCGCATGCCGCATGCCACTGCGGCCGACTCGCATCCTTTTTGGCGTTTTGTGTCATTAGCTTAAAACCGAAACCCAGAGCCAAAGCCAAAAGATGCAGGACAATGGTCAGTCGACACACACACACACACACACGCACAGGCACGCACGTCCTGTGTAACGGTTGTTTGTGGCATCAGCAGCTTCGCCAGCTTCGGCAGCGTTTATACCCGACTCGACCTCAACCTCGACGCAGGCCGGCGGCCGCATGTGGCACCAAAAGATTAATTAATCTTTAAGGACTCATTGTGTGCGTGTGTGTGTGTGTGTGTGCTGTGTTTTTGCGGAGAGTAGACCCCCCAGGGCCCAGTACACAGCCCCCAGTCCTTGTGCTCTCCACTCATTAGGACGCTCGGACATTTGGACAGTTGGACATTTGCATGTGCAGCGACGCAAAATGAATTTATGGGGCGGCCAACACAAGTCCCAGGCCCTCTAGTTTAAGCGCAGGAGGAGCAGACTTAAAACTGGAATGGAGCATGGAGTATGAAGAGTATGAAGAGTACGAAGGAGAGAGATATCCCTGGAAATGCTTTAGCTTTATTCTCCTACTGTCACGGAGTCATGGACATGGCACTCCGGCATCCTTGAGTCGTTTCTTTTGCTAAGCTCAGCATTTGTCACATGCCCGCAACCCCTGGGAGGCCGCCGCCTCAGGCATTTATTTTGATTAGCCATTGACATTCATTTCTATTTGTTGGTTTCTTATCGTAAGCCGCATCGTCATTCCCATTCCCATTCCCCTTCCCCTTCCCCCCCTCTCCGCATCCGCACATCATGTTCATCTTGCGAGAATGACCAGCAAAGCCGCTCAAAGGCGCTGCCTGCTGCTCATTTATCCAATCCATACATCTATATGGCTATGGCTATGGCTATGGGCTATGGGCTATGGTCTGTGTAGGTGGGGGGGGGCCCAGAGATTGCGCCTCAGAGATTTCTGTGGCGCACAACACAGAGTCATGCCACGGGGCATGCCACGCATAGTTGTCCCAGCCAGTGGTAATGGCTTGACAAAGCTCTGTGTCGCTTGCCGCTCCGACTTGCGTATAAAATATTTACGGCTGATTATTTTCCAGGTTAATGTCTTTGCCAAATGTGTGTGTTGGCGGTGTGAGGCAGGGAAGGCAGTGGTGCCATGGGGGGGTTAACAAAAGTTATCCTTTGATGCGCTCGGGCAGCAGCATTTTCTCTCTAATTTATTAGCCAGCATACGTGAATTATTGCTGCTGCGTCTGAGAGTTTTCAACTCTTTGACTTTGATTGGCGGCAGCCCAGGAATTGTGGAAGCCCAAGCCAGAGGTTCAGAGGTTGAGTGGGATCAGCTTTAATAGCAGAGCATTGAGAGAGAGAGAGAGATCAAGCAGAGTGTGCAGGGGGTATCGAGGTGGCAGCTTCCTTCAGCCACCATCCACCTGGCGGCCCTGATCACTTTCTCGCACTTTTAATGGCCAAAGTTTACGGACATAAAGAGACGCGCGGCATGAACTCTCCGCCCGGTAACTAGACGAACACTTCCCCGGACTTGCAGACACGTGGAAAGGAATGTGTGCTGCTGCTGGTTGGTGGGCTGTTAAAATGATTAATGATGTGTGTGTGGCATGTACGTTAACGCCCCAACACACACACAAGCACACACAAACACACACACACACACACACAGTTACCGGAGACAGATGTTGTCATAAATAAAAAGAAGCTGAAAAGAAGATGAAGATGCCCCACGGCGGGCGCCCACTGAGCGGTGTGGTGGGGTGTGGAGCGGTGAGGGGTTCATGTAAATAAACATACATCCATGTGAGCGCAGTTATTTATGCATGTGTGGGCGTAAGGCTGTGGGTGCGATGGCATGGGCGAGGGCGAGGGCGGGTCTCTGTTCGGGCCACATTAATGTCAAATCAGGCGCATAAATTGCGTAAAACGCTCAATTTATTAAACGAAGCATACTTTCGGGCGGGGCGGGGCGGGGCGCGCCTGACAAGTGTATTTGCCAGTTAATAAATGTCGAAATCACTGGCTGGCTGGCTGGCTGGCTGACTGGCTGGGCGAGAGCCACTCCCACACACTGGAGAACTGATTGCATATTTAAGTGGCGCATTCATCGCCTCTGCGCATCCTTTTCTCACGGCTCCGCTTCCGCGTCCGCGTCCGCGACTCGTTGCTGCTGCTGCTCCTCCGATTCCGATTCCCATTCCCAATCCGATTGTGTTTCTGTTTCTGTTTCTGATTCCGACAACGGCTCGAGGTGGCAATTGTACAATTCAAAAAGTGGCCTGGATGATGGCAATTGCCATCAATCGATTTGGCTTACAGTGTTGCGTGGAGTGGGCGGAATGGGGAGCATGGGGCGATCCACGACCCAGGACCCAGGGATAGTGACAAATGCAATCACAACAGCGTAGATTTAGATATTCCCCGCCAAAGGGCTCATAAAAATTGTAAATCGTTTTGCTTTTTGGATATTTTCTGGTCGCTGTCGGCCAGCCACAACACCGCCCTGTGCCCTGTTGAGTGGGGTAGCTGCGGGGGCGGGGAGCCCCCTCGAGAGCATTGCCAAGTCGCATATGCCGGCCGGGGCTCTGCTCTGCTCTGCTTTGCTCTGCTCTGCTTGTTTCGCGTTTTGTTATCCTTTGCTGCTGCTGCTGCTGCTGCTGCTTTGCTGCTTCACAATTGCACGGACGACGACGTGCTGGGCTCTGTGCTGTCTCGCATGTGTGTGTGTGTGTGTGTGTGTGTTGTGTAGGTGTCAAGGGTGCTGTCCTGGCCTCGAAGCAAGACCCCATCCATTCCCCCCAACCAAAACAGGATTGCATATTCCGCTGCTCACGAACATGAGCGCTCGTTAAACGGATGAGTTAAAAGTCAAAAGCCCTAAAGGATTTTATTTGAATTGCGGTCTGAGCGGCCGCCACTGCCAGCCACCGCCATCGTTCGACGTTTTGCTTCGTCTCTATGTCTGTGTCTGCCTCCTTCTTCGCTTGCTTCGCCCGCACCCGCACCCGCACCCCTCTTGTGTGCCCTCTTGTGTGCCATGTTTTATTTAAAGTTTATCTTTGCTGCCTTTTTTTGCCCTGCCCTGCCCTGCGCGCTGCCTTCTTCACGCTAATTTCGCGCCAAGGCAGTAAAAAAAATATTGCGCAAAATAAAATGTTGGAAAAATATTTTGGCGCAAGATGGAAAACAAAAGGGTTCTTCCATGGCTTTCACACTCCAACTCACTTACCCACTCACTCCCTCCCCCACCCCCTCGGCTTTGCTCCTTTTTGTGAATGTCGGCACGTCGCCGTTTCCAAGCCGTGTTGAAAAATATTTGAAATAATTGCAAAAATGCTTTCACAGCATCAGTGGTGAGTGGCGGCCCGGCTCGGCTGCTTTGGTGTCAGGGGAGGCAGAAGACTTTCAGCTTTCGGGTTATTGTGTTGGCATTGTCTTACAAAGTGGAGAGCCGCTGAGAGCGAAGGGCGCTTCGCTTTCCAATGCGAGGCACGTTTGGGGGCCAGTGCAAATCCCTTTAAACTGGAGCAGACGCGTATCGCATTCGACATCCGGAATCTACACTCTTCCAATCTTCCAATTTTTGCCGGGATAATGAAACCATTGAGATTCGTTTTTTATTTATGTTTTCTTTTGCTTTTGCTTTTCCTTTTCCCTTTTTATTCCCTTAGCATGGCGCAGCCGGTAGACAATTCGTTTTCATACTGGTCAAGCAGTGCACGCCCCGGCGGCGGCCAAGCAGCAACAAGTAAGCAGTCCATTCCCATTCCACGTCCCAAGTCCCATGCATCTGTTCTAATTCCATCTATTCCAAAGCCAATGCCAGCGGTGCGCAAAGCTATCGCGCGCCAGACTTCAGGAGCACCGAGTACAGCGGTCAGATGTCGCCCTACGCTCCCTCATTCTATCCCGCGGGCTCATACGCGGCCCAGCTGCTCGCCCACGAGGAGACACAGGAGAACGGCAGGCTTGCAGCTGCGCGGGCGGCTCAGAACCGCCAGCAAGCGCCACCGGAACGAACTCAAGGCATGCTGAGCATCTACAATTCCACCAACGCTTGGCTGGGCCTGAACGAGCCGGGCGTAGCTCAGTGGAAGGCCGGCCAAGCCGCCTATCCACGCCGTCCCCAGTCGAATAGCAGCGCGAACAGCATCTTTCCGCGACGCCCCCCATCGAATGCCAGCTCAACAAACAGCAGCAGTTTTCCACGGTCCCAGGTGTCGTCGGGCAACAGTCCACGAGCGTCGCAGGCGTCGCAGGCAGACAATCACACTTCAAGGGTCCAAACCATTCGAATAACAAATCCCTGTCTGCCCAACACTCGCCACCTTTTGAGTCCGGAAAGAGAGCCGCGCCAGGCGAATGCTTCTCCAGCCGCAGCAGCAGCACCAGCAGCAGCAGCACCACCACCAGATCGTCCAGAGTCGGCTGCTCGCTCGCGATGCTCGCCCGATGGCATTCAACCCAAGTTCGTGTGGCCAAGAAAGCGGCCTTGCTCGGCTTGGGTGGAACCAAGGCAGCAGGCATCAGCGCGATCGTCGCCTTCAATAGCGCCAGCGATGGTCACGGCAACGGCGACGGCGACATCGAACTATCCGCCCTTTGAGGAATTTGTCGCACAGCTGGACCAATGGGGCGTGGATCGGGAGATGTTCGTTGGCACTCTGCGTAATCTGGTGGTGCGTGCCAACGACTTGCTGCAGCCATTGCTGGGTGGTCGATTCAGTCAAATGTCGCCCGAGCAGATGGCCGACTACACCTCGGCCATCATCAACACTGGGCCGCTGCATCCCAGCCTGTTCCTTCCGTCCGTAAGTGGCCGTCATCATCACTATCGTGCGGAAATAATTGCCATTAACGATCGCCCAACCCCTAACCCAACCCCCAGCATGCACAGCGACAGTGGGAGGGCCACGGACTCGAGCTGCCCTCCAGTCATCCGCATAGCCTGACGCCCGAGGACTTGGCACAGATCAGAGTAAGCATCCAATCCGCCCGCAGGTCCGCAAGAGGCTTTCTAATGGTAACTCCCTCCCTTCCTATCGTAGGCGTTTTGCAGCACGAAGGACGCCAGCACACAGACGGAGTATGACTGCCTCTGCATGATGTTGGGCTTTCCCGGCATTCCGGCTCTAGATCGTCCCCAAGCTGGACCTTATGCGGCACCGCCATTGTTTGAAGCGACCCCGAACGGGCCGCGTCTAGCTCCATTGGGTACTGTCCCGCCACTCGAACCGATTCAGAACTTTGCGCCGGAAACTGGTCTAGGCGCAGCATTCGGACAAGGCGCAGGACTTGGAACTGGGGCAGGACTCGGTCCCAACGCTGGACTCGGAACTGGGGCAGGACTCAGACCTAATGCAGGACACGGAGTAGGACCCGGTCCTAACGCTGGACTCGGAACTGATGCAGGAGTCAGAACTAATTCAGGACTCAGAACTAATTCAGGACACGGAGTAGGACTCGGTCCTAGCGCTGGACTCAAACCTAATGCAGGACACGGAGTAGGACTCGGTTCTAACGCTGGACTCGGAACTGGGGCGGGAGTGAGACCTAATTCAGGACACGGAGTAGGACTCGGTACTAACGCTGGACTCGGAACTGGGGCAGGATTTGTTACTGGCGCTGGACACGCACCTGGCGCAGGGTTCGGACAAGGAGCAGCATTCGGAGCTGGTGCAGGAGCCGTACCACCGACAGGATGGCAATATGGTAAGAATCATTTTTATACCCATACTCAAAAAAGAGTTAAGGGTTAAGTTAAGTTAAGTAAAAATGGATGTGTGCAACGCAGAGAAGGAAACGTTTCCGACCCCATAAAGTATATATGTATATTCTTGATCAGCATCAATAGCCGAGTGGATACAGCCATGTCCGTCTGTCCTTCTGTCCGTCTCTCTGTCTGTCTCGATGAGCGCCTAGATCTCAGAGACTATAAAAGCAGGGGCAACCAAATTTGGTTTCCCGACTCATGTGATATCACACTGCTACAAGTGTATTTCAAAATTTCGCCCCGCCCCCGCAAAGGACGAAAATCTGTGGCAGGCACAGTTTTAAAGATACGATGAAACGATAAAAACGCAGTATCATAGAGAATGACCATATCTACCAGATTTCCGAATCTGCATTAGATCGGATCACAATTATAGCCAGAATGAAGAAATTTCAGAATTTTCAGTTGCTTCCCCCGCCTCCTCCAGCCAGAGACCCGCTACTCATTCTCGCGAGCAACCCCTAGCGGAGGAGATGTAGAATCTAAATGGTACATGTAGAATCTACATGTTAGATGTATAATATACATAGTAGATGTAGATAACATATGTAGCAAAAAAATGTAAATTTTTATTTTTTTTATTTTAAAATTCTAAAAAATCATAAGCTCAAAAATGTATATACTGACTGAGTACGGGTATAAGTAGAGTCGCGTCCCCAGAAGCGACTCGCACGTTCCTTCTCGTTTTTTTTTTAAGATGTTCTCCAAGTACCTATATGTATTTGTATCAAGTATTTGTATCCATATTAAGCAACCACTCTCCGCCTGCAGCTGTTCCCACTCCTCCGCAGCCGCAACCTCAACAGCATCCGCATCAGCATCAACCGCCTCCACCGCCTCCACCGTATCTTCCTTTTCAGCAGGCGCCGCGTGTCCAAGCGCCATATGTATATCCCAACAACAACATGTATCCGAATCCGAATTTGAACTCGAATTCGAATCCGAACATGTTTCAGCAGCCGCAGCAGCAGCAGCAAAATCCACAACAGCAGCATCATATGCCACCGCAAATGTATCCGGCAATGCCGCCTTTTATGAATCAACAATTGAATTTCCCTCCCCCGATGAACGGACCCCCGATGCCTACAGTGCAGCCAATGTCGACAATGGCTCAAATGCCGCCAATGCCTCCACAGATGCATCCCTCCCAGATGCATGGGAACATTTACCCGCACATGGCACCGCCGACTGTGCCACCAAGCACAGATAGCTATATGAACTCCTTCACGACACCCAATGCCAATCCCTTCTACGATCCGTGCGTGCACAATCCGTTCTTCAACCCGACTATGGATCCCAATGTGCAGCCGCTCCACCCGAATCCTCACATGCAGCCGCCGCACATGCAGCATCCTACACTCGGCGGGCATCCACTTCCGCCTCCAATGGGACCAATGGGCAGACCTTTGCATTATCCCGATCCTGCTATGAGCTCTGGTGGGCCACGCTTTGGCGGACGTCCTAGCCACAGCCACGGCCAAGGCAATGCCCACATTCATGGCAACGTAAGCTTGCACGGCCATGGCCAGCCTCAGGTCCACGTGCAATCTCAGGTCCACGTGCAACCTCAGGTCCACGTTCAACCTCAGGTCCACGTGCAACCTCAGGTCCACGTGCTACCTCACATCCACGTGCAACGTCATATCCACGGGCAAACTCACGTGCACGTGCAACCTCCCGTTAACGTGCAGCCTCACAGCCATGGCCAACCTCAGGGCCACGTCCACGTCCACAGCCACGTCCATGCCCACGCCCAAGGCCCGGCCAATGGAGAACCGTCCAGAGAGGGGCCGTCAAGCAGCGGACGTACCAAACAGAAACGCGAACACGATCGCCAACGCTGCCAATCGCCACCTGCAAAGGAGCAACGTGCAAAGGAGCAGCTCAGCTCGGACGTCGTCTCCGAAACGGATTCGGACTCCGAAACCGTAGTGGGCGTGGAGCTGGAGCTGCAGGTCCAAGTCAAAGTTGAACTGTGCCAACCCGACAGCACGCCAACCCACAGCAGCAGCGCCGCCGCAGAGAAAATCGCTGCAGGCGACAGCGTAAACGGCAGCCCAAAGACCAGCGACACCAACGAGAAGGTTTCCGTATGTGGAACGGACAAGAAGCAGCAGACCAGCGAGCAGCAGTCGCAGGACGAAGAAGCGTCCCCAAGCCAGGAAGGCCAAGGCAAAGGCACCTCTGCCAGCGCAGGTGGCCCTGCCAGTGAGGAGCCCGATCGTTTCCGATACACGGCCTATCAAGTACGCGACGTCAGTGAGGACGAATCTAGTTCGGATGACTCCGATTCTCCCCCGCAGGGCCCGGCGGTCAGACGAGTGCGATTGCGGCCCTGTGCACAGGTGCCGCCAACGTCAATCGTCAACGCAGGAGGCGCTCAAATGCCGCCAGCTACCACTGGAGTTGCTGCAGAGCCGCAGCCGAGCGATCTGGAGACTGCGGCAGCTGTGGCAAGTCGCAGCACTCGCCCGCCCACCTGGCCCGCTCCTCCAACACTGGATCGCAGCGAGGAGTTCGTTGGGCCCAGCTTTGGGGGCATCAATTTCACCATACACGACATTAACCCACGCAGAATGAGCCCGGCCACTCCCGCAGAGGGCGACTGCATCAATATACTCGGCAATCTGCACAATCTGAACTACCTCGGGGATCCCAGCGATCCCAACAGGATTGCCAGCCATCCGAATGCCGAATCGAGTATTAATTCTACGCTGGATCCAATGCAGATGCCACTGCCACCACTGCCACCTCTGCCACCACTGCCGCCGATGCCTGTGCCGATAGTTGTGCCGATTATGATTTCCGAGTTCAACGTATTCATGCTGGATCCGCCGCGTCCCGTAAATCCAACGATGCCACCACGTCCAATGCCTGATGGTGGCGATGGCTCCATGAACAGTCGCACTGAAGCCAATGGCATGGGATTGAATCCTATGATGCCGATGCCGATGGCGATGGCGATGCCCATGCCGCTGCCCATGGCCATGGCGATGCCCATGCCGATGCCACGTCCAATGCTAGTGCCTGAGGCTGAGCGCAGTCTGCCAATACAGATGCCGATGCCGATGCCGATGGCGATGCCAATGCCAATGCCAATGCCCATACCGGTGCTGTCGTGGGACAGTCTCGAAGCCCTGGACATGCTGCTGATCGATGGAATGGCCATGGTGATGGCTCCACACCCGCCAGCCCCCGTTGACTTTGTGTTCGAGCTGCCCACGCTAAATCCAGCACTCTTTGCCATGGGCATCCAGCCGGCCACTGATCCTGCCGCCAACAACGTTACCGTGCAACCCGGCAGCTCTGCCTCTGCCTCTGCCGCCGTGCCTGTGCCTGTGCCGCACAGATCGAATGCTCCCTCCGATGTGAACAGCATGGAAATGAACGTCGGTGTCGGTGTCGGTATTGGTATCGAGTTCAATGATCCCCTGATGATCTTTCCGTTACCGATACCGATACCGATGCCGTTTCCGATTCCGATCGAGATACAGCTGCCCCGTGGACCCCACAACGGAATGGTGTTGCCATTTGATCTGCCCGATCAGTCGCCACTGCGTCGCAACTTCTACGCCATGACACTGCACATTCGGAATCTGTTGAATGCGAATGGGACGGTGCCGACCCTGAACCCCATTGCCCCTCCCCTGTGGAGCCACTTCAGCATCAACTTGGGCCATGGCCTGAGACTGGGACTGGAACTGGATGCAGAGGTTGGTGCGCCGCCTGCCAACCTGATGCCACAAATGATGCCCAACCTGAATGTGACGTTTATCTTCGAGATGGGAGAAGACGTCACCATTCCACATATGAACGGCCTGCGGGTGCCGAGAGCCACCGCGGCGGCGACAGCACTGCCAAATTATTCGACCCTCTTCAATGGTCTGGAGGTGTTGCCGGTGGTCGCCGAGGAGGAGAGTGACCTGGATGAGTCCTCCAGTGACGAGTCCAACATAAGCACCGAGTCACCGCCCAGTTTCACCTCCTCGGGCTGGACAACAGACGAAGAACGGTCCATCACCGACACGGAGTTAGCCGGATCAGATTCGCCCCGAGTGCTTGGCAGTGCTGCCAGGGAATTAACCCTGCCGATTGAGGATCATCGACTCGATCAAGCAGCCAGTGAGGAGTCGGCTGAGCTAAGCAGCGTCTATGATCTCTCCAGCGAGGACTCAACGGCCATGGATCTCAATCTGACGATGCACGAAGAGCAACCAATGGAAATAGATAATCAGGATGTGACATTGGTGCCTCCTAGGACGGATGAAGATGGGGTCACCATTTATCTGGACTGTTATCGAATGCCCTTGACAGTGGAGGAAGATGGCAGCAGCGTGGAATTGGCCATGGACGTGGATGTGCCGCCGCCCAACCTCATGCCACCCAATCTGGATGTGACGTTTGCCATCGAAGAAGAAAAAGCCACCGCAAGCGCAGCCGCATTGGCAGATAGCAACGCTGCCATTGCCGTCCAGCTGGTGCTTCAGGAGCAGCAGAGTGGCATTCCGGCAGTATCCATCATAAGCGCCGCGGTGTCCGGTCCGCCCAACGCAGCGGATGCCACTCCGCTCAGCTCAATGGCACAGACGATAATGGGGGCAGATCATAAGAGCAACGATCAGGGCAATCAAGTCGCCAGCGGGGAGTCCGAACCAATGGAAGTGGATATAGATAAGAGCGAGGACTGCACGCGGGACGCCACAGAGAGCGCCGTGGCTGGCGTTCCAACACCTGACACATCTACAGACTGAACAGCGAGGAGAGTTTTGGGTTTCAAATTTGTTTTGTATCCTCTTTTGGGATATGCAAGGCCGGTAAGCCGATAGGTAAGTTCTTGGGCCTTATTTTTGTTTAACCTCTTAACCACCTGCGATAATAACTTACAGCAGGGAGCAGCCAAGAGAGAGGCAAGCGAGATTATAACCAGAGAGATGGGAACACTGAGACTGACACCAAGCAACTGAGAAGAAACAATTTAAGACTGTTCGAAGTAATCTTAATTTATGTAAAAACTCTGTTACAATAAACACAAGACACCAAAACACCAAAACACTCAACAATTCAACTCTTTCATATTCCATATTCATATGGCCATGCGGAGAGAATTGCAAAACTCTCTGCACTCTCTCCCTCTGCGTATGCGGAACGAAAGGAAACGAAATGAAGAACACGTACATAGCTCGCTCCCCCTGCCAGCACACACACACACGCACACAAGCAAATATCTTTTTACGCCGCGGAATTCTCAAGTGGTACGCATGGCAATGGAACCCTCGCAGGTAGAAACTTTTGAGCCCTTTGAACTTGCGGGGCGGGTGGGCATTTCTCCGATGCACTGCTTTGGCTCGGCCCCGGCATGCCCTCGAGCTGAACTAATCGGGCTAATCTTTTACGCTGCTTGCATTTTAAAGCGCCCGTTGCGACGGGACCCTCTCTGGGGGCACCGCATCCGTGAATTTTTGGCATGCATGCTTACGTCCGCTTTCATGTGTGCAGAGGGGAATGGTGGCATTGGGGGGCATGGCTGCCTGCGAACGTAATTAAATGCACAAGTAAAGGCAAATACGAAACAAATAAAAATTTAAAGAGCAAACAAAACGCCATTGTTGTGTGCCCTGGGCACACAGTGTCGGCTGCCCTGCTAGGCTCCACTTTAGATGCCCGCACATGCTTCCTTCTGTGCGAGTGCCCACTGTCAGTCCGTTCGAGAGAGAGCGAGAGCGAGTTTTGTTTGCTTTGTAGCCCCACCATAGTTTGACCAGAAATTTAACGCTTCCCTGAACCTCAACGACCGCATTGGCTACATTTTTAATCTACAATTAACCGCCGCTGCGGCTGCTGCTGCGGCTGCGGCGTGGGTCAGCGTTTGAGGTTCGGTGGGGTCGGGGGGTCGTTGGTCACGGGCCAGTATCAATATTGATTCTATTAATTATAAAAACATTAAGTGGCAGCCAACAAATGTAATTAAACGCATTAAACAATTGCAGTGTGCGAGTAATGGCAGAAAAATGCACAGACCCAACTGTGGACACTGCACAATACCATGCCAACACCCTGCCAGTTCCTCAATCCTTCCCCCTCCCCCGCCACCAATCTCAATCGCAGTCATCCCGACTGCAGGAGCTCGTCCACTGCTGATGCACCGCGATAAGCACGTTTTCAATTCACACACACACACACACACACACACACACAGCAACGAACGGCAGCGGAGGAGCAGGTGGGCTGGGCAGCCAGCCCCTGGACACACGGATGGCTCTCAGCGTAGGTCGGATTCCATTTGCTCTGCGTTGGGCAGGGGGGGGGGACTGTGCGGTAGGTGATCGGATTGTCGCACATTAATGACGAAATTATTGTTTCAATTGCTTTCAACTGTTGTCAATGCAAATTTTATGCAAATACTTTTCGCGTACGTTGTCCGCAGTCCGCTGTCCGCTGTCCCCTGTCCAGTGCTCGCTGGAGGTGGCGCTGGGGTTCGTTTCCCTTTTAAATGCAATGCCATTATGGCCAATAAGTCAATAATAATTATTGCCTGCTGCTGCTGCTGTCCATTGTTTTTGGGACTCGGACGGGCTCCTGCTGTGCCACACCCTGTGCCCCCATCCCCGCTGCAACGCTGCAACTGGTTCGGAATAGGCGTTAATTACTTTTTATCTGCACATTGCCAAACAAACAAAATAATAGCAGCCACAAAAGGGGGCAACGTTTAGGGGGCTTGCGGCTCATAAATTCCCCTTGGCATATTTATTTTACGTACGCGTATTTATTTATAAACAATTATTATTATTATTATTGCTATTGTTCACGATTTGTTGCTGGCTGCGCATAAATTAAGCCCCTCCAATTGTTATGCAAAGCGATTTTCATTTGCTGTACGTTCCCCCTGGCGGGAGAGCTCAGCTCTGGAGCCGGACACTCCGATACACCTAAAAGGGTGTTCCACAAGGCCCTCTGGCTGATGGAATTCTCCCGCTCCCGCTCCCGCTCCCGCTGTTGGCGCTTTAATTTGCACATTTTTCTAAAGCGCCCGCCCCCGAAATATTTATGAGCTAATTTATAATTACAGGGCGCGGTGGGGGGGACGGGCATGGGAACTTCGAACACCAGCCGCCAGCCGCTGAAACTCTCAGGGATCTCAGCCAACACCTCAGACTGCAGACTGCAGACTGACTCTCAGGCGAGCAGAGCTAAAGGATTCATCTAAGGCGAACGCAAAGTCGAAGGCAAACAAGTCAAAGTGCTGGCAGGGAACGGAAGCTATCCGCCACATTGGGGGGAGGGGAGTCACCACTCTTGCTTGCTCTTCCTCCTCCTGCTGCTCCCCCGGCAAGGGTCATATAATATAATTAATGCTATGAATTACTTGAGAGCTTCGCAGCATTCCAGCCAAGGTTCATGCGCTGGCCGTATCACGAAGTGCCTGTACCCTGCAGCCCAACGACGATGTCCTGATGCTGTGGCGGGCATCAACGGGGCAAGTGAGACTGAAGTGGTACATGGCCGCTCCTCCCAGGCGCGCGTCCTTGCCGCAGAGGGTCAACTGTTGGGGCTGTCCGTGCCATCCATTGGGTGGGGTGGGGGTTGGGGTGTTGGATATTCCAGCACGTTGCTGGCTGTTGGCTGTTGGCTGCTTGGTCAGCCACATGCACTTAATTGCTTTATGAGGCGGTCAGCAGCATGTTATAGACTTCAATTTGATTTTTCTGCGAGGCGCGTGGGAGCAGAAGCAAGAAGGCAGGCAAGGGGCATGGGGCATGGGTCAGGCATGTGTGTGTGTGTGACACTGTGTGCGAGAGGCAAATGAGACATTGGGGATCAATTATTTGTTGTGCTGCTGCTGCTGCTGCTGCTGCTGCAGGACACATTTGCCCCAAGCTAGAGACGTCGCAGCGACGACGAAGCCGTTGACCTCAAATTATAATTTAAATGTTGATGTTGATGTGGATGTTTATTTTGGCATTGCGAAAGTTTTTTAATCATTCTGATGGGCTCCGTCCGCTCCTCATTGCCCTGATGATGATCGTGATGATGATGATAGTAATTGAGAAACAACTCAAGACGAGTGGAGTGGAAAGGGAAGGGAAGGGAGTGGCGTGGCGTGGCTTTACATGGTTACTCCTCCGATTGGCAACACGTCACCGCTCCGCAACTTTTTTATGTCAGTTCTTTGCACTTTTTTTTGCTGTTGTTTTTGTTGTTTTTCTTCCAGCAAAAGGTGCGAAAAGAAAGCGAATTTTTCACAGCGTTTTTGTATTTTTTGGCATTGGCCCTAGCATGAGGCGAGGCGAGGCATGCCCCTGCCCCCTGCCCGAGCTATACCCTCTTCAGGTGAGGGAAACTTTTACCGGGTACGTTGAAGTTTTGTAATGGCTTTTGTTTGGCGAGCCACGCACACAAATCATTGCAGCCCTTACCCCTGTCTCAGCTCCAGTGCCAGTTCCTGTCTCAGCCCTTGTCCCAGCCCCTGTGCCAGTCCCCCCAGTCCCTGTCCCTGCCCCAGCCCCTGTGCCCAGCCCCTGTCCCTGTCGCTACAGAGTTGAAAGTTGCCATGGCGAAGGGGTCTCGTCGCTTTGTGATACAAGTTATCATCGCCAGGCATTCCATTCCATTCCATACAATATTTTTTCTTCTCCTTTTTTTTTTTTTTGCTATTCCTTGCTCCTCGGCGAGGACATGTGTGCATGTCTGAGCCGGATTCCTTACGGCGGGGGGTGGGGGGGGGATTGCAAACACTTAACATAATTTGGTGCCCCCATGGCAATCGCCGGGCAGCTGGATTATCCGTCCGGGGGCAGTTGGGACTGACCAGTGACCAGTGGCCAGGACAACGCCTCCTCGGACATGCCATTCCGCATTCACATTCACATTCTGATTATATTAAAATTGTTGCACATCATTTCATTTTCATTTCATTTTCATTTGATTTGATTTGATAAATGCCTCTCGTGAGTCTTTTCACGGCCCAGGCTTGGCGGGGGGGGGGAGCTTGGAAATTGGAAAATGGTTCCTCATATATGAGAGGAACTATTGCCATGGCTAAGGTGAGGCATTCCCCCCGAACCCAACCCACCCCACCCCACCCATACCTTGAGCTCTGTTCCCCTGCCCCTCTTGCTCTTTTTCTCTCGCCTCGCAACGATGTGGCGAGCAGGGAAATATTCTTCTTCGCCTCTGAGTACTCTGAGTACTGTATGTATGTACATATGTGTGTATGGGGATGTACATATGTACATATGTATGCATTCTGAGGTACATGGTATTTCCATTTTGCCACTTAACTCAGCCAAAGTCAATTATAATCAACGCCTCACAGTTACAGCCACCACCCAGCCCCCCTACCCCTACCCCTACCCCTGCCCGAACTAGAGCGTTTCGTTCGTTCTGACGCAAAAAGGATTAAAAAGCATCAGGCAGCAGGCAGCAGGCTGGCAGCTGGCATGCTGGGGGTAAGGCAACGGGGCACGATGTATGGCTTAACTTATGCAAAAGTGTTTTAAGACTTTGGCTGATTGCCAGCCAAGATGGGTGGTGATGGTGGGGGGTAGCCGCTGGCACTTGGAGGCATGGGCATGGGCATGGGCATGGGCATATGGAGCACGAGTAGCGACAGACTGAGGCTTAGAACGGGGCCTTCCCCCCGGTATGCATATGGGAACTTTCAATCTGCTCGACATTCAGACAGTCACTTTGCTCTCTCTCTTACAGCTCATCCATTTCTCATTACCGTCCATAAATATGCCACAGAAAGTGTCAGTTTTCGCACTAGCCAAACGCAGTTCACGCAGCCTGCAAAAAGGATAACCGCAGTCCCAGTCCCCCGTTCCAGTCCCTCTCAACCCCTCACTGCCGACCACTGTGCACTGATGATGCTCTGATATCCAACCGCAAACTTAATTGCTTTCCTCCGTCCAGCAGGAGGAGCAGGAGCAGGAGCAGCAGCCTCCGTTTGGACTTCTTAATGTGTCCCGGGCTGCTGCTGCAGTCGCTCCACTTTTGCGTTGTGTTCTGTGTTCTTATCGCGGCGGCAGGGCCAAAAAACCATCAC